CGGGGCGGGGCGCGCGAAGGGCGCGCGCCCTGAGGCGGCGTCGCGCGACTCTGCCCGGCGCCTTCGCCCCTCGGCCGCGGTTGTGCCCGCGGGCGCTGCAGGCGTGTGGCGGGCCCGAAGGGAGCGGCCGAGCCGCTTATAAAACCTGTTTCCTATGGTGTTAACGCCTCTCAGCTGGGGAGGAGACGCGCGAGGGCTTGGCCCAGGTGCGCCCTCTGAAGCACCTCGTTAAAGCTCGTGTGGGCCATCCATGTTGATAACAACTTCAAAAGGGTGGCCGTTGTTTACCTGTWTGCCGCCCTCTGTCACACAGACTGTGACAGGCCCCATGGGGTCTTCTGCAACTCAATGACCAGGACCCTGCTCTTCTTCACTGTGATCTTCRTATTCAGGAAGAGGATAATTAATCTCAGAAATAGCTACTTAGCTTATTGTGTAGCAGCATGTATAAAATATTTTTTAAATGACTTTTCATACAAGCTCTGTATTCTACTTACACTAAGTAAAGCTATTTTATAAATTCTCCTATTTTCAATCCTTCAAATTTTCTACAAAGAGTTTGAAGGAGGAGTAGATTCATGAAGTCTTTATTCATGTGATTGTATTGAAAAAAATGTTTGGCAGTAAAACCAGTAATACTGAATGGGTTATGTAATGGTCAAACCTTTATCCTCTCCCTGGGCATTTTAAAGCCCACTTCTGGGGAATGCTGGATTTCAAGCTAGGCAGAAGCTGAGGGGAATCTGTTCCTCACACATCTCTGTGCTTTGGCAATCTGTCACTTCAGGATATGATGACATGCTTGCAGTTGGCAAAAGGTTTATTCCCTTGTTTCTGCTGTTACAGTGATAGAAAGAAGAGGCACAGAGAAGTTTCAGTTCCTTGTTTAGAAATATATCATAATGTCCCTATTCCAAAAGGCTTTTTGYGATTAATGTATAGCCAACTGCCTGCAATGACAGCTCTCACAGTAGTATCCACTATCTCTGCTAGATACTTTTGCTGAACCTCAAAGCAGACACAAGGGAATGCAAAGTTTTATGTGTTTTTACAACTGAAATTATTCAYAGAAGAGATATTTATCACAAGCTACCTAAACAAAGTGCTTGCATCTTTTGTGCATGGGTGTATACCAGCTAAACCATCTATGCTAATATCACACAAAGGTGATGCATTTATTTCACAATGCTCCATTGTTGATTTAGCATTTTATTGGCATTCTCATTTAATCTCTTTAATACAGCAAATGCTGACATTTAAAAGTTGCAGTTCCTTTTTTTTTTTTTTTACTGCTGGCTTTGGTTCCTCTAGAGCAGACTGTGTACTATATTTGAACAGTCACATACCACATGCTAGTACAGGTCCTTTTTTCAACATTCAGGAAACTAATCATGCCAAAAAATGTCTGCCTGGAATATTTAAAATCRTAGCCCACTCTTTGTAGATTATATTATTTTCAAGCACAGTTTCTGTTGTCACTGTATCTCCCCAACAGGGATGAGCATGAAGATACTCTGAATTTTCTCTATAATAAGGGTGTCACTTTGCCAACTGGAATCTAGGAAGGAATTTCTGGTGCCCAGTGCTGTGTTTATATGTCTCTTTCCATCAATAGCCCCTATATGGGCTGCATTGGTAATATGCCTTTTGCCAACAACTCAAATGAGCATAAAATCAAAGCATTTGGAAATCCTGTTTAAGGAAAAAAAGAGTTTAAAGAGTTAATAGTTTATAACATGAATATTTCAAAGATGGCTTTATATTATCTTTTTCTGCTTGTATTACAAATATCTGAAGATGCAAGAGGGCATAGGCTAAAAGGCTAATTCTACCCTCCAATCCTTTGTTATGGTTCCTGTGTTTCTTCAGTCTGACCCTTAATTTCAAGCTAGCTTGAAACTATGACTTTCTTTGAACTACAATTAACAGCTTTTTGCCCCAAAACAGTTTGTATACCATCAACAAAGACAGTCTCTTGTTTTTGACATAGATACTGTGAAACATTGTTTGCTGGAAGCAACTGAACAGAGCTGCTGCCAGCAGGAAGTGCCATCTAAGAGAACAGATCTCTGAATCACACTTAGGTGTTCTGCCTTTTTTTCACTGATGTGTTTCCCCATATGTGCAATACACATTCCTCCTTGTATCTTGATTTCTCAGCGATTTGTGTGTGGTTTATTAATTAATTAGCATGTGCAAATACACATCAGTCCTTTGGGATGAGGGATGCTATAAAAATAAAAATTATTGTCTCTGTAATGCTGATAGTCTATGTCTTGGTGAGTAAAACTTTCCAGTATTGCATCAGCGTGATTATCCTGCCACTCCCCATCCTCAAAGGATCATAATCCTCCCTCGGTGCCAGCACATGCACAACACACACTTGCAGTCAGTAGCTGAAACTATATTAAATAATGTTTTCCTCTCAATGTCTTTGCCAATTCAGTGTCAGTTCATCCCAAAAAAATCAGAGGAGGAGAACAGAAAATAACACATATAAAAAGACTTGTTTGTCTCATGACAGGATCACAAGAACAATTTGTGCCAGCACTATCTTTTTTCGCTATTACCACCTTTTATTTTCTGTTATAGTATTTTTATTCTACTAAAGCCATTTTGTATTTAAAAAAGACAGGCCATTTCTGTAACCATGGCAAAAAATATAATTAATTTACGATTTAACAAAAGGCAAATATAAATCCAAAGTTGAATGTAACAAAAATATATTTTAGATATTATTTATGATGTTATAAACCACTGTAGAAGACTGCATATTTTAGCACTGTAAATTGTGTTGTACCTCTTTTCCATGTTAAAAATAATATATATCATCCATCTGATGACACTGGATAATGTAAAAACCAATCAGAGGAGTACAGAGCTAGTGGGAAAACTGCAAATAGCTTTACATGTGCTCTGAACATGTGTTGGGTGTCTCCCCAGGCCCTGATGTCAACCAGACAGGCCCTGCGTCTGCTCTGTTCCTATGTGGTATCCCAGGAGCTGYGAGTGCCGCAGCAGCCCGGAGCAGCCCGGGCGCGCGGTGAGACGCCTGCATCTCCCTGTTGGGAGCAGCTGCCAGGTCACCACTAGCGGMTGAGTGCTGGTTTTAAGGATATTTGGCTTAAATGAGAATGGATATTTCAGRTGCAGTCTGTATGAGGGGATATGGACACACAAGTATGGCAAAAAAAGTGGAAGTGGATAACTAAAATATTAGTTATCTCTTGGCAGGGAAGTGGCATGTGCATGGGTCTTTTCCTCACACTTTCTTGGAGAAATGGGTGGCAACAGAGATTAAGAGTGGTCATGTACATCACTCTAACCAAAAGCCTATCTGCAAGCGGAATTACCACAAGAACTAACSGAAGGGATTAAGTTCCTCCCGGGATCCCTGGTTCTGCTTTGCATGGCTTTCATATTACTCTGTTCACCAGTGTGTTCCAGGACAGGATGTAACTCCTTATTTATGTGCTGGAGCACACGCTCCGTGAGCCCTCACAGCCCGTCTYGTGCGGCCTGCGCAGGCTGCTCTGCTGTGGTGTTGCCAGGGGCACTCGCTGGTGCTCCCTGCAACGCCCGCGCTCCCAGGCGCTTTGTGCAGCGCTCAGCACCATGCACGGCCGGCACTAGGATGGCGCCGGGCCATGTCAGCACTGGATGGCGGGACCCAAAGGGCCGGGCAGGCTGGCACAGGGGGTGCCCRCCGCGACATGGCGGCTCTCCTACGGCCTGTGCCCGCGACACCTCATGGCTGCGCTCGGCAGGACCAACGCGTGGCACCACATTTCTGGTGAGCCSCTACAAAGACCGGTCGCCTCCCGCACTGGGTCAGTAGCACAGGCATGGCGGCCGCGCCCCAGCACAGCCCAGCGCTACAGAGCCCCCCCGTCGTGCGGCGGAAACACCCGAATGCTGACGAAGCTCCCCGAAGCCGCTGCGTCGCCGAGCGCTGCCGAGCGGCTCCGAAGCCCCCGYGGCTCCGCGCGGCGGAGACACCCGAGTAACTCCGAAGCTCCCCGAAGCGGTGCCGGCGCCCAGCCGGAAAGGCACGAGGAGTCTCGGCGCGCGCGTACGGCCTCGCCGAGCGTTGCCGAAGGCGGGTCCTGGCGCGGCCCGGCCGGATGCGAGTTCCGCTTCCTGTTTCCCTGCAGTCCTCCCTCTCTCCGCCTTGGGTGGTGGCCGCTGCCTCGTCGCCGCTGCCGGGCACAGGGCGGAGGCGGCCGCGACCCGGTGCGGACCCCGCCGCCCCCTCCCTGCCTCCCGCGCCGAGCAGCCCCGCGGCGGCGGCGCAGCCCCGATGCAGGCCATCAAGTGTGTCGTGGTGGGCGACGGGTGAGTGCGAGGCGCCGGGGCCTGGGGCGGCGCGGGGAGCGGCAGGGGGGCGGCCCAGGCCCTGCTCTGGCGGCGGCCTCGCCGCGGGGCCGCCTTGCGGGCCGCCCGGGGGCCGTGTGGGCGCGCGCGCCGCGGGGGGCGGCGGCTTCCTGCCTGGGGCGGGGGCGGGCGGTAACGGTGCCCCCGGGCAGGGCGCGGGCGGCGGGAAGGGCAGCGGGAGCGGGAGGTTCCGCGAGGCCTGCGGCGCCGGTTCCGCGCCGGGGCCGGGAGCGCTGCTGCCCCCGGTGCTGCCGCCCCTTCCCGAGGCCCCCGAGCGGCCCCTGCGTGTTAAAAGCAGCTCTAATAGTGCTTTGAAACGCCGTTACCGAGAGAAGCAGCGGGCGAATTTCATCCTACTGCCACTTTTAGCTGTTGTTTTTTGTGGTACCCGATTCTTGTAACAAGTCAGAGTGTACTGAGCTATGCTTCAGGCAGATCACTGATGTTTGGGCAGCCTGGGGTCTTGCTCACGCGCCCCGAGGCCTGTGAGGCTCCTGTCTGCAGGCGGCCGATAAGGCAATCGCGGTGCAGATAACTGACCTGTCCTGCAGCATTCTGAGTGYGGTGTTGCTTATGCCCGAAACAGCTCGAGAAAGCTTTTTACAATCTGATTAAGTCAAAGTTTAGCTGCCAGATTTCAATGTAAAGAATGCTGAAGCTGTGCTGGAAAAAGAGCTTGTGTGTTTTCTGCATCGGAATCCTCCCCACCAAGCTCTTCCTGGCGACTCGGAGGCTTTCTTTTGCTTGCTGCATGGCAGAGCTCAGGGGAGCATCGGAGGCCAGCTGGAAAACAAGACTTGTCTTATGCAGTTTGATTTTTTTTTTTTTTCCCCCCCTTGGTAGAAACAAAAATCCCAGTGTAATCTGAGCATAATCAGTATCACAGCAAACTTGTGTAGATGACAGAAAAGTGTAAGAGCAGCATCGTGGTCTTGCCACTGCCTGTGCAGCTTCCCATGGTGGCTTACTCTTGGAAGTTCTACATTTTTAAGCTACTTCAAGAGGAAGTTCCTTAAAAAAGACAGGTTACTGTGACTGAAAGATAAGTTTGCTTCCCTAAAAAAGAATCATCTTGCCTTTTCTTGCTGCGTAAGGTGCTGGGCAGTGAGATAGAAGTGATATCCTGACAAATGATGATTTCTTGTACTCCTGTAATTGATTGGTACTAGGTATAGCAACTGTGGTTTCTTCAGGTTTATGCTGCAGATTTTTTTTATTATTATTTTACATAATTTTTAAAAATTCAAATGAACAGTATTATCTGTTTCTGAATCCTGCTTGGGTGGGGAAGAAGTTTGTCTATCAGTTTTTAAAACTTGGGATAGGTAAACTATATGATATACAGTATTTTTTCTTCATAATTTAGTTTGTAAACACCCTCCCAGTTCCAAACTTACTTATTGCTCAAGGTTTTGGGAGTGGAAATGATTAAATTCTACCTCAGTTCTTTGTGTGCATGTGAATAAAATGAATTATTTTTTTTCCTCCTTTCTTAGTTAGAAACAGATCTCTCTCAAAATTCTACTGAGATATCATTGCTTATTTTCCATAGCTTTTTATGGTCCTCAATTGAGCTTTCTATATTTAATGTTTTGTTTCCACTTGTTGCTGCTTCAAAAGTTCAAGCTTTACAGGTATTCTAGAAAATGTGTAATGTTTGGCTTAGATAAGCTAGAGCTTTAATGTTTCTGTTAATACAAGTTAAAGATTGCTTATATAATATCAAACTTGAATACTGCTTTACAAAGATCTAGTAGGAGCAGAATAAACAAGGCTGTGGGAGGTGCCTGTGTGACTTTTTTTGGTTTTGTTTTTAAATTGTAAATAGGCTGTTTCTGGTAAGTATCTCATGTTTGCTTTTAGGGCTTTGACCAGTATCAGTTTAGACATGCAATTTGGCTAGAAGAGTATGGTGTTTGTGCTAGATGTGCTATCATATTTTACCTCTTCACCATGAGGATTGCTTGATGAGAAGAAAGAGTTGGCTGCTGTTGCTTTGGCTTGATACTGAGAAGTAAGATTGTGCCGGACATGTGAATAGCCCTCCAGTCCACTTGAATAACTCTGAGAATTGCTCTTGGTTGAGACTYGTGTAAAATCACAGGGGGAAGTTATTTTTAGAATACGAACAAAAGCTGCTAACTTTAAAAAGGCAGCTGTTTAGTCCTATGGAGTCTCAAGTGACGCCTTGGAGTGTCAAGGGAAGTTTTGCACTGCACGTTGTGGAAATGATAGCTAGATGCCACAGAATTGGCCCCTGTTTGGAATTTTACTTGCTTTATGGTCTTGTCTGCTAAAGTTGTACGGGATTTGATTTGAGARCCCCTCAAGGAGGGGGAGGTGGGGGAATAACTGGCTTTCCGTTGAGCATAGCACAATATTTGTGTAGGATGCCAAACACTTAAGATCTTTCCAATGTGAGCTGTAGAGAGTGCAGCGACCTGAAATTTGGAAATATCTCCTATTGTGCTTTCTGAGAGAGAAAACGTAATATTTTAGCTACTGACTGGTGTATTTGGGAGAACAGTGTCTCACAGCRAGTAAAATAGCTTATCTGAATGGGTGGTTTGTAACTAAAAGCACCATAGCAAAGCATTTGACTTTTAAGCTGGTGAATGTAATAGTCTCATCCCCTGTTTAAAGTGTGAGTGAGGAACAGGGCTGCACATTGTATTTTCCAGGGAGGGAAGTCATGTGGCTCAGAAATAAATGACACAAAAACATCAAAGCTTTCTGTGAGGGCTGCCACCTGTTTGCAGATATCATTATTTAAAGAATTTAAAAAGCAAGTGCTTCTGCTGGCCTCCGTTAGTGGGACTGCAAATTCTCACAAGTGGTTTTCAGCTGTGGAGTAGCAGGAGCCTCTCAACCATCTGTGCAGCTCWGAGCCTTCATGGAGGCAGAAACCCTGGCATGGATCCTCTGAGAGCATCTCTATGGTTGGTCCCTTAACGCTGCCCCCAGCAGCTCTAACGCAGTGGGAAACTCCTTAAAAGTTTTTAGTGTAAATAAGGCCAGGGAAGAGATGACATGTTCTGTTTCAGGAGTTAATACATTTGTGGTTATATAAGTAGCTTGATTCCTGGATGGTACCAGGAAACTGTGAGGGACTCGCTGTGTTTTTTAAAAAAGATTTTCACTTATTGTTAAGTAGTTAAAGCACTGCAGATTTCTATAGGCCATATTTTAATTGCAGTCAAATGTTGCTAGTTTCATTTGATGTAATAGTGGGTGGACAGAGCTATGATTAAGTAGTTGCTAGAAATTTTGTTATGACTAATTCTGGGCTGGTGATATTTTAGCTTTTCCATCTCCAGCTTTTATATACAGAGATTTCTTCCCTCAGACRATGAGAATCCTCAGGGAGTTGCTTTACTACAGAAGCTGGATGCCATAAATGTAATAAAGCAGTTGGAGATCAGCTCTGTAAAGGTAGGCGTTGGTTGGTTTAAGCCTGGTGGCCGTGCAGAGCTGATTCACAGGGCAGTGAGCCAGGAGGCGAGGAGAGCAGGAAGCCCAGGCTGCTGCAGTCTGGGGCAGGGCTCTTGGGCGTGTGTTTTCTTGCTCTAATGGCTCTGCCTGGTCTGTGCTGGGCCCTGCTGCGGGCGTCTGGACACTAGGGATGAATCTTTCACCCCTGTTGGGATGTGTTGGTTAACCAGAGCAGACTTGCGGGTTCCAGTGCAAGGTGAGCAAGGGAGTGCGAGTGTAAAGAAGTTCTTGAGCCAGTGTAAAGTTTGCCACAGATTTATGAGATGCTTGAGTTATCTGTAAGGAACTCAAGTGGAGAATGAAGGCTCCAGCCAAGCTGGTTCTGGAGTGTGAGAGCTCGGAGCTCCCCAAAGGGCTCCTGAGAAATTGGGGTTTGCTGCTCTTGCTCCTCAAACAGTTTTTACTTTGTTCCTCTCTAAGGCAGACTGTGTAGCTGCCTTGGGGTGTCACAGCTGCAGTTTAGCAACACCCTCAAATTGATCTAACTGATGAGATGGCCCAAGGAGCTGAGCTGACAAGTTGACTTTATTGGAGCAGGAGTGGTCTGAATAGTTTTAACCCCTTTTTCTGGCTTTTTGTGCGGTCACTTGGGTGCTAGCCCAAGAGATGAGGCGGGTCACTTCACGTGTTTTTTTGTTTGTTTGTTTTGGTTATTTTATCTTTTTTTTTTCCCATAGAGGTTTCTGAATAGTAAATTCCTATTCTGCATCTCCATACAAGTATACTCTGAGCCTGTCACTATAGCAAAATGTTTAGTGACTACTTAAGTACAGAATTAAATGCCTTTGTTGTAACTTGGCACAAAAGAGCACACTGTGATAGGAAAAATCTCAAACTGCAAGGGGCTGGGATCTTATTTCTTTAGAAGCAGATGTGCAAAGCAGTGAGGAAGAATATATGGTATAATCTGAGAGTCGTAGCAGGTGAGATGTTATGTTATGCCAAATCAAAGCCACAGAATTAGGATTTAAAAGTGAGAATGTGTGATGTTCCATAGTTCAGGTATTCCAGGTAATGTTATCAAATGTTGTTATCACATAAATCCGCAGGCTAATACAGTACAGAACTGCTTCAGGTTTAATGGAGAGACTTCCAGACTGAGTTACAATACCCTGTAATTTGTGRTTGTAACAAACTTGAAAATTTACTCAACTTGTCTTAAAGTGTGAGTCACTAGATAAGGTCAGCCGTGACTAAAGCTCACTTCTGTGAGATTCTTTTTGTAAACTGAAGGATCAAAGGATATTTTTTACCATTAAAATTCATTTTTTTAAAATATATTGGCCGTACTTCTAGGCTAAAACTGTCATGAATATACTTCACCTTGTGAAAAAACAAGTTCAGGAGGTTCATGAGTCAAACTAGTGGCAAATGTATGTACATAAGTATGTTAAGGTTGAAAGCTCTTTCTGACTTGTTTTGAACAAATAGTTGTAATAAACATCTGCAAGAAAATGCGTTTTTCCTTGCATGCGAGTTTGTTTGAGAAGAAGAATTGGGTAAAATACAGTGTGGTTGGGGATTATCTGTGAGGAACTGGCTGAATCTCTTCTGGAATCCCTTGGGCTCTTAGAGGATTAACCAGCCTGGGAAGCAGTCTGCAGTGTCAGAAACACTCTTGGCAGATTATGCCTTCAAAACAGAATACTCTCAAGCATTCCCATCCTTTAAAACTGTAACAGGGGATCAGTTAATTCTTTAATTTGATACTTAATTCTAGGTAAAATGTGAGGAAGAGGGAGAGAACTGGCTACCAGTTTGGGAAGAAACCTGGATCTGAGCCTTTCRCTGCCCCAGTTATCTGAGGCTCTTGAGTTACATCTGTGGGGAGAAGCGAGGAGCTCCAAATCCCTTCTTCAGTATTAGAATATAACTTATCGATAAATTGGCTTGAAATGTGTGAATTGTTGAAGAATGCATAGACATTAATTTTATGTTATTAATAACTGTTGTGAAGATTACAACTTGCATTTCTTTCAAATGCCTGGAAGTGATCATATGTTGGAAAAATCATTTTCTAGGAAACATATTTTTAAAAATGAAGCTTGGAGGAAAAAAAAACTTGTAAAGGGTGTGTCAGAAACTTGGGGAGGGGATTGGGGTGAGTTGCAGCAGACACGGTCTTGCCTAGTATTAAGCCACATGACTAACAGATGTTAAGTCTTATCCTATTTTTTAACTGAGGACTAACAAAATCTGGTAATTCGCCACTTTTGCATGATTAAGGGATGTTTACGGTAAGTATGTTTTCATTTCCAGTGATCTTAATACAGTTTAGCTCTTYTTGTACAGTATTGACTAGTGACATTCTGAATTGTTCCTTAGCTGAGTATAGTAGGTTGTCATTTAAAGGGTATTATTTCCAGTTATTCAAGGAGAATGCTTTTTACATGTTAACTTCCTCTTTTCACAGTGCTGTAGGTAAAACATGCCTACTCATCAGTTACACAACCAATGCATTCCCTGGAGAATATATACCCACTGTGTAAGTACTTATCTTAAGAACTTACTTAGGTCAACTTGTGGGTGCTTGCTGCTTTTCCACATGCCTTGTTTGCACTGCTTGRATCGGCTGCAAGGACCTCTCGGCTTCGTCCGGAGGCTCAGCTGGGTATGTAGGTGTCCTTAAGGAGAAGCACCTCTGGCCTGCCAAGTTAGCATGGTCTTACCAGTGTTACTTGTCTGTGCTAAGTGTCCATTATCTTTCAAAGTAGCCTGTTATTTCTATCTTAAATATCGTCTATAATAAGCAGTCCCAAGGCTGAACGCCCTGTAAATCACTGTATTCCATCAGAAATAGTTTATTTATGAAACTAGATAACTGATTTTTATTTATTTATTTAAACTTCCTTCTTCTTTCTCTGGAAGTGGAAAGCTGCCTGCCTGTGCTAGGCTGGCCACAGCCCCATCAGCCACAGCTGTGGGGGACTCTCTTATTTTGATACTTCTGTTTTCTTGCATCTAGGCGTTGAAGGGTTCATCAATGCCAATGTTAATGTATTTCCCTTCCGAGGGACTACTTGTCTTTGTTAATAAAATATATTTTAAAGAGATTCAGTTATTCTTTCAAAACCTTGTTTTCTCCCCCCCCCCCCCTTTTTTTTTTCTGTCTTAGAATTCTGGGGGATATTTTTGCCGGAGTGCAGAGATAATTTCCCTCAACTTATTTTAACTTTAAGAGATCTTTGAAGTTTTTTGCAATCACAGTAGTCATGAGATAAAAATCATACCTTTACTGACCMCGTGCTAACAACTTTAATGCTCCACAAGAGTCATAGAGGTGTGGGATATTTTTTTTCACTAGACTTAAGTGTGTTGGACTCCTYGGTTGCTGCTTGTGAAACTCCTGTTCTAAATCTCACAAAATGCTGATGCTGGTTAACCTGCTCATGATGCCCTGGTAAGACTGGAAGGCACTTGTTAATCTCATTAATATAGGCAAACAGGAAATTTATTTAACAACATTTCTATCAAAAGAGCAATTAAAAAGATGACTTCTGCTCAGAATGGATCATAATTTTCCTTCTACTACTCAATCCTAGACTCAATATGTACAGAAAAACTGTGATTTTTGGAGAGTAGGAGTCTCTCTTCCTCCACGGTCTTCCCAAGCAGGACTCTGTACAAAAAGGTCTTGTGCTTCTTCCTTTACTGTGTGCAAATGCAGCTAACTTTATTTTTTTATTATCTTTTTAGTTTTGACAACTACTCTGCTAATGTAATGGTTGATGGGAAACCAGTCAACCTGGGCTTGTGGGATACAGCTGGACAAGAGGACTATGACAGACTGCGCCCGCTCTCCTATCCACAAACAGTAAGAACCACAGGGTGAAATTTGAGAAAATGCCCAGCTTTGTCTGGCCTCCAAGTTGGTATTTTGAACACTGATAGGACTAACACTCTTGCATGTAGATATTTGAGAGTAACAGTGGCCTCTTGCAAAGTGCCCTTCTCTATCCCAAATCCTGCAGCTGCCATGTACGAATGTTAGAACTTGCATCCGTGTGCATTTGTGTACTGTGACACATGTGGCTTTTGTGGTTGCAGCCTCCGAATTAACTGCAATACCTGACTAAAAATAACAAACTTGATGAGTAATCTCATCAGCCAGTTCTTTTTTGTTTGTTTGTTTTTTGTTTTTAAGGTTAGAGTGTCTGCTAAAGACTGGATTTGTTTTTGTTTATAGGCATGTTTGGCTGCAACCTGACACTGTCACTGCTAAGCACTTGATTCCAGTTAGTCGCAGGTTGTAAGATGTGTTAAATGTGAAAGAAGCAGTTTAAAGGAAAAAACTATTGGTGTTGACAGAGGCTGTGTTGTAGCTTTCAAATGTCCTTAAGCCTGTGGCTGCTGTATTGCTCCCGTTTGTGCTCTAACATGAACACAGCTTGCAGCTCGTCAGGGCCTGACTTCCCTCTCAGAAGGAGGATGCTGAAGCAGTTTGCTCTCTTCTTTTCGGTGCAACCTCAACTATAATTTAATTTTTATAACGACTTTTCTAGAGATGCTTTCTGTTGAGCTGAGTGCTTTTATCTGGCAGATTTGTCCTTTATTTAGAAAACCTGAGGCTTTTGTGACACTGATTAGTATTGTAAATTGCCTGATATATATATTCCATGCTAATAATGTGAAATGCAGAATTTTTCTAGCTAGTGTACAGTGTAATTGCTGTCTTGAATAATGTGAATTCATCTAATGCTTTTTTTCTATGTTTTAGTAAGCTGACTTTATTTACCATTAATTAAGTGCTCATTAGCYTTAGCTATGAGACTTTCCTCTCGGTTACAGGACCACACACATTTACATCCTTGCCAGTTGTAGACAGGGCTCACAAAATCCCAGGAGTTGCCTKCCTGCCTGCCTGCCTTAAAGAGGAACAACAGCCACCTGTAGCTTTTATCTGTTTAATATTTTGAAGATCTATAGGAAGGATTTAATTTGCTTTAAAATGTTGAAAAAAGTGTCACAAAGTAGAAAAAAAGGTAAACTGAAAGCAAGAAAGAGGAAAAGAAGTGGAATTGTAAGAGAGAATGTAGATTCCCTCCTGACAGGCTGTATGTGTGTGTCTTTAGTCTGGTAAAATAACATGACTTTCTAACACACTGGAAAAGAATTCCATCTCTAGCAAACAGAGTGTTTAGCTCTGGGAACGTCTGTGTCTTTTCTGGTTACCCTGGGTCACAAGGCAGTGTCTCTTCAGAAGAAAACCCTTATTGCGAATATTTGTGAGCCAAATTGCTGGTTGAGACAACGCTTTCCCTAAAGTTGGTCCTAGTAGTAACTTTATCTCATGCTGTTACTAGGTTGGAGGAACCAATGGTAAGAATATATCTTCCAGTCTGACAGATCCACCTATTGCCGTATGTAAAACTTTCAATAAACTTCAGTTCCAAGTTCTGTTGTCTTGTCTTGCTGATAGTGATAAATTGGCCCCTATTTTTTTAAACAACTTTTCTTGGAACTATTTAATTGTGTTTGAGAAGTCTATTGCTGCATCTCTATAAATGAGTTGCTTTAAAACCAAGACTTCTTGCATTTTAGAAAAATAGCCTTTTTTCCTGTTTATTAACTAAGATTGATAGGTGATTGATTTAGGTGCTTGGCACCTGAAATCTTTAAACAATTGCTCACGGTCACACCAAATCTTTGATCTCTGGAGTCAGCAAAGGAGAGAATCTCTGAAATAAACAGTTTAAATCACCACAGGCTTGCAGAATTGGAAAAGAGAAGTAGTGGCCATAGTATCACAGTATTTGATACTGTTTATCTATCTTTCTTCTGGGATGCTGCTGTGGAGACTTGTTGGGGTGATGCATGACAAGTGGGTTGCAAGTGCTTAGCAGTGCAGATGTCGGATGCTGACCTAACCAAATGCCTTGAAATGCAGCACAATCAACTAACACTCTGAAATGCCTGATTCTTTAACACTTGTTACTGGAATAAGTACGGACAAAGAGGTAGGTTGGGGAAAGCTGGGGGCGTCCGAGACATTTATGGAGTTCTGGGTAATACAGCAAGGCTACAGCTCATCAGATGTAGAAAATCCATCTCGTGGTCATGTGACCCTGTAGCCTAGAATCACTCAGAATATGAAATGTGCTGTTTTCTGAAATGTGTTTTTTAGAGCAGTTAGTGTAAACAGTGTTTTCGCTGATCTCCTATTTAGAATCTTCCTTTGAGTTGGAAGGCCAGAGGTACCAGATGCCTGGCAGTGCTGCTGCTTTGGCGCAGGGCATGAGGTGCAGACACTGCTCTGCTGCTGGCTGAGCTGGACAGGCTGCCCCTGCTCGGGGGTGGCCGCGGGGTCGGCGTCTCCGGAGGTCCCTGCCAGCCCCAGCGCTTCCGAGAGCCTCTTCTCTTTGTAGCCTCCTGTAAGTTAGGGAGGGAGGGACCTAAGGAGGTGCTTGAAGTTTTTAATACTGTTCTCAGTCCTRTTTTGGTTATAGAGAAATTCAGAAGTCTCTTTAAGCAGACATTCAGCAGCAGGAAAAGTARTGAGTGGAATTTGGCTTGCAGAAAGTAACACAGAAGTATTGCTGAAAAGCATATTTTAYGTAGTAATTTTTGTAGTCTTTACTGCATACTATTCCTTTGCAATTTAAGGTTACTTTAGGAATGGTATAATCTTATTTCAGAAGCTGGTGTAACAGTTGCTCTTTGTAGTATCCTTTSCTTATGTTATGTGTTTTAAGACTTCAATCACTTGGAGGCCTGCAGAGAACATCCACACCTGGTTCAGCAGCTGGTCTCATGACTCACCATTGCCTGCAGTTGCTGTGGGAACGTGAAGGGGTTATTTTCTTGATATGGAGGATTTTTTTCTGAATGTCAGTGAGACAGATAAAAACCCTATATTTAGGGGAGGAAAGCGACCAGCACAACTACGCTAGTATTTATTTGGTGGTCACTGCASTAGCTGCTGATGAACATGATTGTGATTTCCTCCCCTCTCCCCCTGCCTTTGCTTGTAGCTGCTTGGAAGGGATTTCCCACTGGAGAAATCGGCTCCGGTTGTCRTGTGCAGGGTTGTGCGGTCGGCCTTGCCCCTCGCCAGCGCCGCGCGCCTCGCAGGGCGGCACCAGCTGCTTGTGCAGCGACAGGCGCCGCGGTCCTGGTGGCTCTGCCGCGCTCACTGCAACCCTTGTCTTGCAGGACGTGTTCCTCATCTGCTTTTCCCTTGTGAGCCCGGCCTCCTTTGAAAATGTCCGTGCGAAGGTAAGTAGCATCCTTGTATTTCTAAGTGCTTATTTTCTAGTGGCTTYGGGAAAATCTGGGTGATTTCTGGCAGTGGAAACTGTGGTCTGAGAAGGTAGAAATGAATCTGCCAGGCTTTAAGTCCAGAAATTTCTGGAGATTCAGGGTACCTACAGCATCTGAACTACAAGTCACTCCTTGATGATAGGACAAACAATTAAAAATCTCATTGGCTGTAAACTCTTGGGGGCACAATCAGGACATCTCCTTGTAATGCCTTTTTTTTTTTCAATGCTTTTCTGTAAATCGCGTGTAAGAGTTGTGCTRAGGCTGCCTGATTCTGGAGTCGGGCAGCACTCGGGTACCGGCTGCTGCTCTTGCCCTCTGGTGCCCGTGGGCACCCCAAGGCACTRGAGGCTTCAGCATGGGGCCGTGTCCCCCCACTGAGGAGGTGACCTCCACAAGTGGGCAGAGTGCAAATCAGGGTGCTCAGCTTGTCAAAATAAGCACAGCCTTTWATAAGGGAAACTCATGGGACTTATGGCTTGACCACCCCCCCAGTGCTTTGCAATTCTGTGCTGTCACTTAATGCAGCCTGAATGGGGCCTGCGCTCCGGTTAGCGCTGCGCCGGTGCCTCTCGCGCGCGGCGTCGCGAGCGCTCAGCGTGTTCTCTCCCGCAGTGGTATCCTGAGGTGCGGCACCACTGCCCCAACACCCCCATCATCCTAGTGGGCACCAAACTCGACCTCCGAGATGATAAAGACACTATTGAAAAACTGAAGGAGAAGAAGCTGACGCCCATCACCTACCCACAGGGCCTCGCCATGGCGAAAGAGATCGGTATGGCTGGAACCGCGTCGCTGTGGGCTTGATCTAAATTGCATCTGTGGAAGATGTCGTAGCTTAATTGAAACAGATGCCTGTTTCTTTGCTTGGGAGKTGGCTAAAATGGGTGCTTTCTAACTGCAGAAAACAGCTGTGTCACTGTAGGCTTCTTTGCTTTGCCCAGGTGCCGTGAAGTACCTAGAATGCTCAGCACTTACGCAGCGAGGCCTCAAGACAGTGTTCGATGAAGCCATTCGAGCAGTTCTGTGCCCCCCTCCTGTAAAGAAGAGGAAGAGAAAATGCCTGCTGCTGTAATGCCCCCGCGAACCCTGTGCTCTGCTCGGACAAGGGAGCACTCACATCCAATGCCAAGTTTTTCTGTTATAAATTAGTTCTCTTCCATACATTTTTTTGAACCAATCAACAATTTCATGGTTTCATTTGTTTAAAGTCTGAAAGTTACTTTTCATTCTACTAAAAGCAAAATCCTAAAAAGACAAACCTATGTAAAGCCTTATTTTTAAAATCCTATTCTTGCTCAATTAATTAATTAAGTGTTGCCAAACTATCTGCTGAACTAAGTTGCATTGTTGTGCTACAAACACTAAGCACTAAACTTTTTTAAAGATTCTTCTTGAAGATGACTCTAATTTGTGTTAGGAAATGCAAAAACACTTTCTAGTTTTTCACAGTGAGTAACAGTACAGTATAATTAGCAAAACACTGCAGTCTAATGTGTTTTATCCGATGTTTCCTTGGCCTGCAGTCGTTGCCTACCGTTGTGTATGGAACCTAAATCATTGACAATGACTGACAACCTTGAGTCACAGTGTAAGAGCTTTATCATTGGTAAGGGCTTGGTTGCAATCTAGTTATTGTTGCTGTGATTTAAAAAGAAATAAATAACTATTCTTACTGAAGTGTATCTGCTCCTTCTGACAGCATTGTATTGTGCAAGTGAAACATGGGGTTGCACCAGATGATAGTGCCAGGCAGTATTTTGACACTGCACAGATCAGTTTTACACTACACTGTCAAAGTAGTTCAAACTGAATTGACATTTTCTATAGGTTAAAAATTGGTGAAGGCTTTCCCAGACCTGCAGTAGCAGAAGAGAGGTTGATGTTCATAAGTAAATTCCTTTGAGTTTCAAGTAGGGCATTCATTTAGTTACAACTTTGAACCAAACATTCCCACAACTGTTGCCTAGTAATTGCTTTTCTTGTAGAATTTCTTCTTACTAAGCAATATAACTTGTATTTTAAGCCCTTTCTCATGATAGAATTTTGCCTTTTTTTTTTTTTTTTTAGATTAGAATATTCAAGCATATCTTTATTTCGTGTTTCTTCTGGCCCAGTAAGTTAAACGCTTTCTGAGGAGCTTTTAGTCTACTAACTAGGTGTAAAAATCATGTGAAGCAGCTTTACAAGTTTTAGTAATTTTTATATTTTAGGCCTCTATAAACGATGAACCTTCTCTAATATCACTATTTGTCAACTATCCTCCCCGCCCCAACATTACTAATGCAGACAAGCGCCTCTGTCGCCTCCATGTCCATGTGCATTCTAGGCTGAGTAATGGTAACCTGGGTCTGTGAGGTTCTGTAAACTAGTGCTAATGTTCTGTACATCCTAAACACTGGCAGGAATACAATGTTGAACTACACCCTTTCAACCACTAAAGCAAAACTTAAAAGTTGCAAAATTGTGAAGTTTTTACATTGATCTTTTGCTAATGCAATTAGCAGTATGTTTTGCATGTAAGACTTAATAAATCCTTGAATCAACGTGTGGCAGTGTTTGAGTTTCTGAGCAGGCGTGGCTGTCTGGCCTGGCCGCGCTGCCMGGGAGCGCGGTGCCGGTAAGGCCGGGCTGGGCTGCGCGCGCCCCAGTCCCTGGGCTGTGGCCTGACACCTGGAGCTGGAACGAGGCCGCGGYGTTTGTGGCAGGGCGCTCCGTGTCGCCGTGTGCTCCGCAGCAGCGGCAGCCGAGCGCGGTGCCTCCTTGTTCTCCGTGCGAACATCCTGCCAACAGCTTCCGTATAAAAGTTACATGGTCTGAAGGTTTCTGAAGTGGGTGTGCTGTGGTGCAGTAGCTTGTTCYTAAACTACCTCACAATTGAGTATTTTAAATCTATGACAATAATATTGGTGCTATATATATATATTTTTATATGCACACATCAAAACTCCCCCATGTCCAAGGGGGACCCTGCCCTCGCCCAGGGGCTCGTCCTCCTCCAGGGAGCTGCTGGGTGCCCCCAGGGGGGCTGGCGCTGCCTCCTGTGCCCCCCTGCAGTGCCCCCCACCCCGACAATGCCTGTCACCTTCTCTCTCACAGTCAAGACAAGTTTGTAAGACTGCACTTTATTTTGTCTCTGCTTTGTAGCATAGCATGAAAATTTACAGTTATTTTCAGTCACTTTTTTTTTTATATGAAAGGAGTTTGAGATTTAAAAATCATTTTTGTTCAGAAGTCATATGCCAGAAACAAGCAACTACAAACATACACATGATTTTAAATTTTTGGCAGAATTACAAATTGGTGCTTACATTGGTCACAGCTAGAACTAATGCTGAAGAACAATGCGCACAAGTCTCATTAACTACCCTAAGTAGTTAAGAATTTAATAACAGTAGGCCAATGGGTCAACCAATACCAATGCCAGGTAGGAAAAGAATATTGCACATGAGTATCCAAGCAGCATTTAAACACTCCCTGCTCCCCGACCAGGCACTGCCCTAGGGTTGCTGCCAAGAACCCTAAGAAAACCAGTGCAACGGGCAGCACCTGGGGCAGGGGGGGTCTGTGGAGCTGCTGCTGCTGCCGCGGACGCGGCGCCACTCACCACCTCCGGCGGCCGGAGGACTCGGTGCCGCTGGCTCCCGCCCTGCGCCTCTGCTGTCACTGCAGCACCTTTTGTGCAAGGAAGTCTGGGCTTTGCAAATGCACAGAATGGGCTGCTAAGCCACAGTGACGGTTAGTGGTTTGGAAGCAAACTGGAAAGAAGAATTCAAAAAAAAAAAAAAAACAAACAACCCCTCCTCTCTTACAGTGCTGCCTATCGCAGGGCCAAGGGAGCCTCCCGCTCTGCCGCTGCCGCCTGGGCCCGTGGGCGCCGGGGCCGGGCCTTGTCCTGTGGCCGGTGCCAGCAGCCTCTGCACGAGTGCGGAACCGCCGCCTCAGCCATCGTGCCAGTGCTCAGGAAGCTTCCCCTTGGCTTAGGCAGTAGGAACAGGAAGTACTGAACTCCACTTACCCACAGGAGTGGAATACAAGTCCTGAATACTTGAAACCTGCATTAAAATAATAATTAAAAAAAAAAAAAAAAAAAAGAACACCCACACACATTGCAGCTCTTCTTTCTTGCATTATGGGTCTACTACGTTGGTGTTGAAGTCTCGTGTTTGACAAGAAATACAAGCGCCATGTTCCTGAGCCAAACTGTTCAGCGCTTTGAGCACAACATCTGGCATGTGGTCTGTTATCATCTTGGGACTTATTAAAATGCTGCTGAAGACTGTCTCTTTTGACCAGCTTGCAGTATATTTAATATCTGAAGAGCACAACCTGAAAAGAAAGGAACAGGAAGAAACAATACAAAAGCTTAGCATGTGTCTCAACTGCTGCTCAATGTCAAGCTGATAGTGTTTTTCCTGTGGGTCACCACATAGTCTTAGTGGAGAAGAAATTAAAACCTTTTYCCCATCAGGAAGAAACAGCATTAGCTTTTAATGCTGCAGAAACTGTGCCAYTAGGGTTGTATTCTCAGAACACAGTACATGAACTTGTAAGAAATCACAGACACGGTAACTCAGGCCTAAATGAGGAGGAAAGACTAAGCTGGTARTAGATAATAACAGCTAATAAAATTGCTTAAAGTAATTATCAAGCTTCTCTGGAGAGAAAGAAAAAGAAAAAAAAAGCTTTCCTCTATAGGTGAAAGCTAAGTGACAGTTGCTCTTAGCTGAGCTTCTGTAAATTACAGATTCTTTTATTTCATTTGAGAAACCTCTGTCTTTCCAGTTTCAGCTTTTCTGTTGTCTTTGTCTGCTCTTTCTTCCGTCTACTGCACAGGAGCCTCCAAATGCCACAAGCCTCCAGCCTGCACAGCCAAGCTGCATGACTGGGTGTGTTAGCATCCGTTGCATGCAGTAACCCAGCAAATACAGCGTGTGCACCCCCCCCCCCCCCCCCCCCCCCCCCCCCCCCCCNCTCACACACACACACGCAAGGTTCAATGCCTTGCGCATAAAGCAGCAGGGTGACCACAGAAATGCTGCATGCAAGAGACAAAGGTGGGTGTAAAAGACACAGCTGACAGGCAGAAATGGACACGGGCACTTTTGAAAGTGAGACGTGACGAGGTAGATTTTAGGAAAATACAATGTTAATCGTTATTCCTTCATACCTCTTAGCACTGGATTCTTCTACAATATGGATAATCTTCCCAGGAAGATACAGATGTGGATACTGAGGTGGTGAATTTAAGTGTGATTCATCCTCAAGGGCATTGTATGACGGTGACCGATGAACCATTAAACTCTCCTCAGCTAGAAGAGGCTGGGTTAGGTCATCTTGGTTTCTACCATCCAGTTCAGTTGGGAAATTATCTGGATCTCCTCCAAACACCTCATACCAACAGCCATGCAACAGAATCTGGTACTGCATTCAGGAAGAAAACAAGGCAAATTAAAGTCTGTATCTCTTCAACTCAATTTATTCTAAGTGTGTGCCTGCACGCACCCCATCTAAAGGTACAATTAAAGACTAAAAAAAATGACTATGCACCTACTCCCCATTTCATCTTTCCCAACAGCTACACATATCTTACCAACAACCACCCCAAGTCCCCAGGAAGGCTAAGGCAAACATCACCATCTCAAGCAGATAAATCATCCTGCAGGTTCCACTGTCCAGATTCAAGGGTTTCTGCATCTGTAGCTTCTAACTGTCAATCACTTCATTCTATTTCACAAGGTCACGAGTGCCCTCTGTAGGGCTGCTGATCCCGAGACTAACATGGAAATTCTGGTACAGCAGATTTGGTTTCAATATTCAGAGACAGCAGCTTTAAATCTTTAAACTGAGTGTAACTCTAACTCCAGCAACATCTTGCTTGACAACACACTGCTCTAGCCCTTTTTAGCATAACAAAAAGAGGCAGGCAATTTAACACCAAAACTGAGAAACATTTCAAATACTAATGGTTATGTTTTAACAAAACCACTATCAGCTTAGTGATACTAGATGATTATTAATGCAAGTAAGTAATCCTATTGATTTTTTCATCATTTGAATTGTTTTGTTTATTTTATTTAATTTTGAATAGTTTCCTTTAAGAGCATAATTAGCAAACAGATCATTTCAGTTCTTCAGTGTTGTGCGCTAATGTCTGCCAGTTTTGCCAAATCTTCATTTCCAGCAAATCAGCCTTGTAGAAGACTAATACCAATGTCACTGAATTACAAACACTTCTGTAATTCTCTTCATTGAAACCAAAAATACACACACCAATTGCCACCATAAAACCTGGGCTTAACCCAGCTGACAATTCCACTGTTAACCACTGCAAATAGTTACCTTGGGCCTGTTACAGTTTGCCACAATTCTCACTATTCTCCTCTTTAAATCTTCCATGTTGGGCATACTTAACCTGTTCAAATACACATAAAACAAAGGAGAGCCTCTTAACTCTGCAATCTTTGTAACTTACCTCCAAAAGAACAACTTAAAAATACTTGCATCTTACCTTGCAACAAGGTCCTTTCCAACAATGACTGACACAATGAAGTGCTTAGTGTAATCTGCAAGCGACTTGCTGAAAAAAGACAGACTAAAAATATATGCATGTCTTAAGCCCCATTTTTATAAAATGATAATAATCATAAAAAATATTTCCAGTTCTTTRGTAGGCTTTCAGAGCAACTTGCTGCCCAGGACAAAGCAATTTCAGTGCTGATTACAGTGGTCTCTCATACATGGAGACGTCAAACAGGCCAATGTAGTTCAGTCATATGAGCATCTGGACTCTGAAACATTTTTAGTGACGAATTTATAAACACATCTGAAAATATTCAAGACAGCTAAAAAGCCAAACTTTACAGTCAACATAGATAAAGTTGAACATTTTTTGTGTGGGTGTGTGCAAAAAAGAAAGAAAGAACAGGCTCATAACAAAACAACTGCCAATCCCATCTGTGCCATTAAAGCAGAGTTATCGTCTGATGTGTTTGTCAACAAACTATCTTCATAATTTTTATAATCTCAGACAAGGAACCAAATGACGGAAGTATCATATTTACCTTAGAAGCCCTCCTGGAGGAGAAAAAGCATAACATTTTARTGTTGGGAAAGAGTTCCTCAGCATGATGGCCAGTATGGAAGCTGTTCCACCGCCTAAGCTGTGACCAACTATCACAAGTTTATATTCCTGGAGACAGAGAGAAAAGATTGAAATGTAGACATTAGAAAAGCTTCAAATAATTTTTCTGGCCACAAAAAAGAATAGAAGGTAGCTTACCGGAGCAATTGTGAAAGCTTGGTTTAAAATTCCATCATTTATTAGTTTTCGATAGATGTAATTTGCAGCTTGAGTTATTCCCTAGGAGATAATATTTTAAGTTAGGAAACAGGGTA